AATTAGGGTTAAAGTTTAGCGACGCATTTCTCGAGAAATAATTTTATATTATTTAAAAGTTCTCGGTCGCTACAGGCGTGCTTTCTATCGACACTCAAATTCTCTAATAGTTACCTCATTCGTGGAGTCAATGTAAGCATACTTCAATCTAGATTCTGTATCAAACCAAAATCCAGGTAGTTTTGGTAGTGGCAACGTAACACGTTCTCCTTCCAACATATCTAGCACAGACCGCATTGTTGGTCGATCATCTGCTCGTTCTTGGACGCATAAAAGACCGATTTGTATACAACTTAATGCTTTATCTGCTGAAAACTCATCCCCTATTGATTTATCCAACAACTCTAATGCTTTCCCTTTGTTCCACATCTTCCAGGCCTGAACAGTAAGAAAATAAAAGACATATTACCAATTTCTTAGTTATAATCTGTTGACATCAAGTATTATCAGGAATCCTGCTGCACCTTCTGGGACAGCTACCTACTGTTTATGAGTTAGTTCCTTTACTTACATGCTCAACAAGTTTTCCAACAGGAAAAGTTCTGTAACTTCTTGTGCCACTCAAAATCTCTAAGACAACAACTCCAAAGCTAAAGACATCTGACTTGACTGATAATACACCGTGCATGAGATATTCTGGAGACATATAGCCACTGTAAATCATATTAGATGAATTATAGAAATTAGTATGTTACTTAGATGAAGCTAGAGTTATGCGTCATTGTGTTAATACTTACTGTGTTCCAACTATGCGGGTAGTTATTTCTGTTTGATATTCTTCTAAACTTCTAGCAAGGCCGAAGTTTGAAATTTTAGGCGTCATCTCATTGTCCAGTAATATATTGCTAGTGTCAATATCCCTGTGAAATATTCTCAACCCCGAATCTTGATGAAGATAAACAAGACAACGAGAAATACCTATGATGATTTTCAAACGTATGATCCATCCAAGTTCATGACGTCTTGCTTCATCTGTCTCATTTCAAGTCAAATGAGCTCATATAAAATTGACCAATAATTTATTTGTGCAAAAGAAAGAAAATGATATTCCACAATTGAATTAATTTTAGTTCTGAAAAAAGCGAAAAGGACTGAAATCTAACCAAAAATGTGAGCATCTAGACTTTTGTTCCCCATAAACTCGTATACGAGTATACTTTCTTCTTGATGAAAACAGTATCCAAGTAGTTTAATGAGAT